TAAAGTTATTTTATTAAATATAAATAATACTGATAAATATATAAATACAGCACAAAGAAAAAAGAAAAAAACTATTCAAAATTAATAACACATTTTCCTTTAATGTTAATATTTCCTTCATTATCGATATTAACATTACAATAATTATTATCGAATTTAATATTTTTAATTTTATAAATATAATTATTTTTATCAATTTTTCTTTTTTTTTGTTGTTGTTGAACAACTGGTAAAGCTTGTCCTGTTGCAATAACTTCAATTTCTTCAGTTTCATCTATTTCTTCGATTTGTTTAAAAAAAATTAAAGTTTCATTATTTTTTTGTGGTAAAAAATTTTTATTATTTTTTTGTTTTTCTTTTTCTATAGCTAAATGATATTCAGTTTGATGATGTTTATCAAAATGCTTTTTAAAATTTGATAAATTTGTATCGATAGGATAATTAGCTTCACAGAGTTTACAAATAAGTCTTGTTTTAAGAGTATTACTATGAAAGTAGTTGCGGATTTCATGTGTATTACACATTTTTCTTTAATTTTTACTTTATTTATCATGTTATTTTATAGTTTTTCGATTATGTATTTCATTTAAAGAATTTAAAAGTTTTTCCGTTAATTTATTCTATGAAAGGAAATTCCTAAATTGTAAAAGGATTTTCTGTAAGAATTTAAGAATTTTTTGATAAGGATTATTAATCTAAATTCTAAAATCGTACCAATCATTTTAAGCTTATTTTTTTTTATATATGTTGAGGTTTTTTTTGATCTTAAATGTCTAAAGAACGTAAATTTTCTTTTAAACTTGAAAACTCACAAACAATTAAACGAAAAACAATGTCTTTGAAAAGAACATATGTTGAAGAAGAATTTTATAATGAATCTTGTAAGGAGATTAAAAAACTTAGATTGGATTTACAAGAACGAGATGAAAAATTAGATGATGAAAAGAAAAAGTATCAAAGAAAAGAAAAAATATATTTAAAAATTATTTCTAATTTACAAAAAGAATTAGAAAATAGAAATTCTTCTATTATAGAATTAGTTGAGCGTTATGTTTATTTTAATGCACATTTTGGCAAATCATTTGAGACTTGTCAAAGTTTATATAAACAAGATGTTTTAAACAAAATTAACAAATCGGTTAGTACCGATTTAGAAGTTTATCAACAAGAAGAAGAAGTTCAACAAGAAAAAGTTATTTATCAAAAAGAAAAAGTTCAACAAGAAAAAGTTATTTATCAAGAAGAAGAAGTTATTTATCAAGAAGAAGAAGTTGAAAAAAAGACTGATGATGAATTAGATTTTGATCCAGATAAAGAATGGTTAAAATATTTGGAAACCGATAAATATTAGTTGTTAATTCAGGAGAAAAAACTGAAGTTGTATTTATTTTAAATATTTTTTTATCTTGTATATTTATTCATAATTAAATAAATAAAACAAAGAAAATATAATTTTATTTTAATAAATATTT